TTTACATCAAATATATATATATCTAGTTGCCATATTGTGCCTTGTCCAACCTGTCAGGGTGGCTAAAAAAGAGTTTAGACTACTCAAGTTTGTTGTCAAATCATCTACTGTACATTATATTATATATATATTAAGCACTAAATTCTCATTTGCAAATGTAAGAATTTAAAATAATGTAGAGGAGCACCAGAAGTACCCACCAGCAGTAGCAGCACCAGCAGTACCCACCACCAGTAGCAGCACCAGCAGTACCCACCACCAGTAGCAGCACCAGCAGTACCCACCACCAGTAGCAGCACCAGCAGTACCCACCACCAGTAGCAGCACCAGCAGTACCCACCACCAGTAGCAGCACCAGCAGTACCCACCACAGCAGTAGCAGCACCAGCAGTAGCAGCACCAGCAGTACCACCACCAGTAGCAGCACCAGCAGTACCCACCACCAGTAGCAGCACCAGCAGTACCCACCACCAGTAGCAGCACCAGCAGTACCCACCACCAGTAGCAGCACCAGCAGTACCCACCACCACCAGTAGCAGCACCAGCAGTACAGCACCACCAGTAGCAGCACCAGCAGTACCCACCACCAGTAGCAGCACCAGCAGTACCCACCACCAGTAGCAGCACCAGCAGTACCCACCACCAGTAGCAGCACCAGCAGTACCCACCACCAGTAGTAGCACCAGCAGTACCCACCACCAGTAGCAGCACCAGCAGTACCCACCACCAGTAGCAGCACCACCAGTACCCACCACCAGTAGCAGCACCACCAGTAGCCCACCACCAGTAGCAGCACCAGCAGTACCAGTAGCACCAGTAGCAGCACCACCAGTAGCAGCACCACCAGTAGCAGCACCACCAGCCAGTAGCAGCACCACCAGTAGGAGCACCACCAGTAGCAGCACCAGCAGTAGGAGCACCACCAGTAGCAGCACCAGTACAGCACCACCAGTAGCAGCACCAGCAGTAGCCCACCACCAGTAGCAGCACCACCAGTAGGAGCACCCACCAGTAGCAGCACCAGCAGTAGCCACCACCAGTAGCAGCACCAGCAGTACCCACCACCAGTAGCAGCACCACCAGTAGGAGCACCAGTAGCAGCACCAGCAGTACCCACCACCAGTAGCAGCACCAGCAGTACCCACCAGTAGCAGCAGCAGCAGTAGGAGCACCAGTACCAGCACCACCAGTAGCAGCACCAGCAGTACCCACTACCAGCAACCACCAGTAGCAGCACCACCAGTAGGAGCACCACTAGTAGCAACCACCAGTAGCAGCACCACCAGTAGGAGCACCACTACCAGCACCACCAGTAGCAGCACCACCAGTAGGAGCACCACTACCAGCAACCACCAGTAGCAGCACCACCAGTACCCACACCAGTAGCAGCACCACCAGTAGCACCACCACCAGTAGCAGCACCACCACCAGTAGCAGCACCACCACCAGTAGCAGCACCAGCAGTACCCACCACCAGTAGCACCACCAGTAGCAGCACCACCAGTAGCAGCACCAGCAGTACCCACCACCAGTAGCAGCACCAGCAGTACCCACCACCAGTAGCAGCACCAGCAGTACCCACCACCAGTAGCAGCACCAGCAGTACCCACCACCAGTAGCAGCACCAGCAGTACCCACCACCAGTAGCAGCACCAGCAGTACCCACCACCAGTAGCAGCACCAGCAGTACCCACCACCAGTAGCAGCACCAGCAGTACCCACCACCAGTAGCAGCACCAGCAGTACCCACCACCAGTAGCAGCACCAGCAGTACCCACCACCAGTAGCAGCACCAGCAGTACCCACCACCAGTAGCAGCACCAGCAGTACCCACCACCAGTAGCAGCACCAGCAGTACCCACCACCAGCAGTACCCACCACCAGTAGCAGCACCAGCAGTACCCACCACCAGTAGCAGCACCAGCAGTACCCACCACCAGTAGCAGCACCAGCAGTACCCACCACCAGTAGCAGCACCAGCAGTACCCACCACCAGTAACAGCACCAGCAGTACCCACCACCAGTAGCAGCACCAGCAGTACCCACCACCAGTAGCAGCACCAGCAGTACCCACCACCAGTAGCAGCACCAGCAGTACCCACCACCAGTAGCAGCACCAGCAGTACCCACCACCAGTAGCAGCACCAGCAGTACCCACCACCAGTAGCAGCACCAGCAGTACCCACCACCAGTAGCAGCACCAGCAGTACCCACCACCAGTAGCAGCACCAGCAGTACCCACCACCAGTAGCAGCACCAGCAGTACCCACCACCAGTAGCAGCACCAGCAGTACCCACCACCAGTAGCAGCACCAGCAGTACCCACCACCAGTAGCAGCACCAGCAGTACCCACCACCAGTAGCAGCACCAGCAGTACCCACCACCAGTAGCAGCACCAGCAGTACCCACCACCAGTAGCAGCACCAGCAGTACCCACCACCAGTAGCAGCACCAGCAGTACCCACCACCAGTAGCAGCACCAGCAGTACCCACCACCAGTAGCAGCACCAGCAGTACCCACCACCAGTAGCAGCACCAGCAGTACCCACCACCAGTAGCAGCACCAGCAGTACCCACCACCAGTAGCAGCACCAGCAGTACCCACCACCAGTAGCAGCACCAGCAGTACCCACCACCAGTAGCAGCACCAGCAGTACCCACCACCAGTAGCAGCACCAGCAGTACCCACCACCAGTAGCAGCACCAGCAGTACCCACCACCAGTAGCAGCACCAGCAGTACCCACCACCAGTAGCAGCACCAGCAGTACCCACCACCAGTAGCAGCACCAGCAGTACCCACCACCAGTAGCAGCACCAGCAGTACCCACCACCAGTAGCAGCACCAGCAGTACCCACCACCAGTAGCAGCACCAGCAGTACCCACCACCAGTAGCAGCACCAGCAGTACCCACCACCAGTAGCAGCACCAGCAGTACCCACCACCAGTAGTAGCACATCAGCAGTACCCACCACCAGTAGCAGCACCAGCAGTACCCACCACCAGTAGCAGCACCAGCAGTACCCACCACCAGTAACAGCACCAGCAGTACCCACCAGCAGTAGCAGCACCAGCAGTAACAACCTGTAATTTGTTCTTGCAATGTCACCAGTACTCTGTTCGGCATCATTTGTACAGTAGCAGGAACAATTAAAACATGTATACCAGCAGTAGTAACAATTGCAAAATTGTCACCAGTTGCAGAAACTGTTGCAACATACAGTGGGTACTGTATTGATGGTGGGTACTGGTGGTGCTGCTACTGGTACTGCTGGTGTTTTACATACATCAACAACAGCAGGAACACGTGCAGCAGCAGCATGAGGGAGAGGAGCAGGCAGAGGCGGCGAGGAGAGAGGCTGGGGGCGGCGAGGAGAGAGGCTGGGGGCGGCGAGGAGAGAGGCTGGGGGCGGCGAGGAGAGAGGCTGGGGGCGGCGAGGAGAGAGGCTGGGGGGCGGCGAGGAGAGAGGCTGGGGGCGGCGAGGAGAGAGGCTGGGGGCGGCGAGGAGAGAGGCTGGGGGCGGCGAGGAGAGAGGCTGGGGGGCGGCGAGGAGAGAGGTTGGGGGCGGCGAGGAGAGAGGCTGGGGGCGGCGAGGAGAGAGGCTGGGGGGCGGGGAGGAGAGAGGCTGGGGGCGGCGAGGAGAGAGGCTGGGGGCGGCGAGGAGAGAGGCTGGGGGGCGGCGAGGAGAGAGGCTGGGGGCGGCGAGGAGAGAGGTTGGGGGCGGCGAGGAGACAGGCTGGGGGGCGGCGAGGAGAGAGGCTGGGGGCGGCGAGGAGGGAGGCTGGGGGCGGCGAGGAGGGAGGCTGGGGGCGGCGAGGAGGGAGGCTGGGGGCGGCGAGGAGGGAGGCTGGGGGCGGCGAGGAGGGAGGCTGGGGGCGGCGAGGAGGGAGGCTGGGGGCGGCGAGGAGGGAGGCTGGGGGCGGCGAGGAGAGAGGCTGGGGGCGGCGAGGAGGGAGGCTGGGGGCGGCGAGGAGGGAGGCTGGGGGCGGCGAGGAGAGAGGCTGGGGGCGGCGAGGAGAGAGGCTGGGGGGCGGCGAGGAGGGAGGCTGGGGGCGGCGAGGAGAGAGGCTGGGGGGCGGCGAGGAGGGAGGCTGGGGGCGGCGAGGAGAGAGGCTGGGGGCGGCGAGGAGGGAGGCTGGGGGCGGCGCGGTACTCATGTATAAGTAAAGGACGGTCGAGACACGGAGACATCGATTCGTTCTTCGGTGGTCGTCCGACCTTGTCGCACATTCCCTCATCAGACTTGCAGTCTGGCGGACGTCCTGCTCTCCAGCACCGGAACGTGTGAGCACCCAGGTGACCGAGCGGTGACTGATGCCATAGGAAGTGACAGGGGGAGGAAGTGCCGAGGGGTAGTGCTCAGTAAGCAGCTGTTGGGAGCAGCTAAGGTAAGTGCCAGAGAGGGAAGGGAGCCTGTGCCTGAAAAACGGATAAACAAAAACACCTGGTTGGTGCCAGAGATTGAGCAGGAAAGGAAAGTCTTGAGAAAAGAAGTCTTGGCTTGTGATAACAAGAGGCAAGTGTCAAAGAAAAGAGATCAGTGGTTACATGTGACCAAGAAGAAAGAAGTGTATGGAAGTAATACACACTGGATAGAGTGAAGTGGTCTAAGAGACCAGACAGGAAGTGTCCAGACGCACAAGAAGGGACGACGTAGCTGTACGTGATGCTGTAAGAATCAAACAGAGACACCTGGCCCCGGAGACTACGCGACAATCATAACAAAAGCCCCAAGAAAACCTTTGATTGTAAATCTCGGTAGCTTCCTTAAGAAAACAACTTCAGGAGTTGTCTGGTGCCATTCCTAAAGCGCCCACAGACACGGATATATAACCTGAACCCTCACGAGTGCCTAGTGACAAAGTTGACTTCAGACGTTTCGATTTGATTGTTGTGGTAGCGGCAGGTACAGTTTATTATGCACCCCATAGTTATCCTGTGAGGGGCAGCCCACTAGGATTAAAAGGTCACAAAAGGTCATAATCATCCCTTACCCCCCCCCCCCCCCCCCCAGTGGAAGTTGTCTGACATCAGAGAGGTTTGAACCTTTTCAGAGTTAGAGACTTTCCGATCTCTAAAAGCTTGTTGATCTCACACGTCCCGAAACTAGTCAGTTCGATGGTATAACACGTTATTAGAGATCAAATAGAAGATATTAGAAGCAACGAGCGTTATTAGAGATCAAATATTTCAGAGCTTCAGAAGTCCTCACACCCTTGAATGTTTCTTTGCATCGAGTTCATGAGTGGATGAAGCTTTAATACAGATAAAATTGAATATTTTTATAATTAAATAACTCGTCTATCTCGAGACAAATTTCAGTATATGAAGAGCAGCGAACAATAAACGCATATATTTAAGCTTAACCTGGATATTACTGGCCTCGCTGAACAGAAAACAGGACATCAAAGATTTACCTTAAGAACGTCTTTGTCAAACGAGCGCCACACTTGGAGTCCAGCGAGTTTCTTGCCGAGAAATTGTGGGTTAAATGTACGTTGATAAGCAAAATTTCTCATGTTTCTCGTAAGTGTTTTACTCAGACGTTTACAAGTACGTGTTTCTGTTATTGGCTACAAAAATTCGATGCAAGTTTTGCCACGCCCGCCTGCTGTCTTGGGAGAGTTCAGGCCGCAGTTCTGGCCAAGTTGCCTGTAGTCTCCAGCGGTTGGTACAAAAAGAGAGGAACACCACCAGGAGGAAGGTCTCTCTCTTAGGCAGCACCACCAAGAGGAAAGTCTCTCTGGTAACACCCCCAGGAGGAAGGCCTCTCTGGTAGCACCACCAGGAGCAGGATATCTCTCGGACAGCAAGAAGAGCACTACCAGGAGGAAGATATCACTTAGGCAGCGAGAGGAGCACCACCAGAAGGAAGATATCTCTCGGCCAGCAAGAGGAAGATATCTCTCAGGCGGCGAGAGAAGCGTCCCCAGCAGGAGGATGTGCGGGCTGGGTCATCTAGGGTGGGTGATGTGCTTGTTGACGGTGACCCTGCGGGCCGGGCAGGCGACAGGTCAGGAGTTCCTCTTCACGGAGCACTCTTGCAAGGATCTCGTGCCCAGGCACCGCGACGCTATTAGAATGGCCCCAGGCGATAAAAACAAGACCAACCACGTGAAGGCTCAGAGCGGCGGCACCAATGACACGACGGAGGCCCCGACGGAGACCCCGACGGAGCCTCCGTCTCTTCCAGCGGCTCAGGAGTACTCTGGGGACATGGACGTGGAGGTTCTCACCAGTGAGACTAGCTACAGAAGACTCAAGAGTCTGATAGGTGAGTCTTCTACTTGTTATACTCAACGTCAGTGAGGTGAACGGCTGCTGAAGAATGAGTAAATTCACAGTGTGAGAATGGGAGGGTGGGTTAGTGTTGTGGGGTAGGTGGATGATCTAAGGTGTGGGTAGGTGGATGATCTAGGTAAGGGTGGAGGGTGGAGGGTTGAGGCTCAACACTGCATGTCATCGTAGTATCCCTAATTATGTTTAGCTGAGAACGGTTCTCGGTCACACAGGTTAACAAGTAGATTCTAACATACGTTAGTCGTTATATGGGGTTACCTGGTGGCTTCTAGGGCTCCCTGGTGGCTTCTAGGGCTCCCTGGTGGCTTCTAGGGCTCCCTGGTGGCTTCTAGGGCTCCCTGGTGGCTTCTAGGGCTCCCTGGTACCTTCCAGAGGATCCCTGGTGCTTTCAGATTCAAAAAATCCAATTCCGCTAACAAAAAAAAATCCAATTACGCCAATGACACATTCATTTTTGCCATCATAAAAAATCCAATTTCGCCAAAAAATCCGTCTATCTACCCATCTCTTTTTCTTTCCATCTATCTATCTATCTATCTATCTATCTATCTATCTATCTATCTATCTATCTATCTATCTATCTATCTATCTATCTATCTATCTATCTATATATCCCCTTTCTCTCAGAAAATATACTATTATTAAGAACTACTGAAACAATTGAGTAGGGTATAAGAAATGATATTGTGATACAACTCTGCGCGAATCACACACCATATTTCACACGTGTCTCCATGAAAAATGGCCTCGAGGGGTGTTTATAATTACTAATATTTGTTAAAGCGTTTAACTTAGATATACCCCGACCATCCAATGTTCGTCCCGTACCCCCAGACCAATCCAACCCCTCCTGCAAATTTTGGACGAGGCTAACTCAAAGCGTCTGGTCTCCAATTTTGAACAGAAACCCACAGACATTCTCTCTCGCAGGTATAGATTATCCGGAGTATTAATCTATTGTAATCTGGTATTATTACGATATTTCCGTGGTATTGTCTATTATTAGTTGGTATTTAATGGTATAAGTCAGTGTTACCTACAGCTGCCAGGTATTATTTCCGCCAACGACCAGGTGTTAATGATTACAACGGTGCACCTTGTGGTCCCCCGAGGCCTCGCAGCCAGCTCGTGCAGCCTCGAGGCTCTCCTGGGAATAGAGAACTATAAGCATATTGGAGACTGCAGAAGGTCTTTTTTTCTTATTTTTGGCGATACTCGCCAAAAGATCAGCTTTTTGTCCGGTCGTGATGGTCGAGTGGATAAGGTGCCCTGTACACCAGTTGCATAGTGCTCCTGGCAGTATGGGTTCAAGTCACTTCTGGGGTGTGAGTTTTCAGTTATATATATATATATATATATATATATATATATATATATATATATATATATATATATATATATATATATATATATATATATATATGAATGAAAACTCACACCCCAGAAGTGACTCGAACCCATACTCCCAGAAGCAACACAACTGGTAACTACAGGGCGCCTTAATCCGCTTGACCATCACGGCCGTCAAAAGGAAGTGATAGCCGAGGCTATCCTTTTGACGGCCGTGATGGTCAAGTGGATTAAGGCGCCCTGTAGTTACCAGTTGTGTTGCTTCTGGGAGTATGGGTTCGAGTCACTTCTGGGGTGTGAGTTTTCATTCGCATATAGTCCTGGGGACCATTCAGGCTTGTTCGCATATATATATATATATGTATATATATATATATATATATATATATATATATATATATATATATATATATATATATATATATATATATATATATATATATATATATATATATATATATATATATATATATATATATATATATATATAACTGAAAACTCACACCCCAGAAGTGACTTGAACCCATACTGCCAGGAGCACTATGCAACTGGTGTACAGGGCACCTTATCCACTCGACCATCACGACCGGACAAAAAGCTGATCTTTTGGCGAGTATCGCCAAAAATAAGAAAAAAGACCTTCTGCAGTCTCCAATATGCTTATAGTTCTCTATTCCCAGGAGAGCCTCGAGGCTGCACGAGCTGGCTGCGAGGCCTCGGGGGACCACAAGGTGCACCGTTATATATATATATATATATATATATATATATATATATATATATATATATATATATATATATATATATATATATATATATATATATATATATATATATATATATATATAAGGCACAACTCTTCTAAACACGAGAGTGAAGTATACAACTTTAGAACACTTTCCCAACCAGGAGACTCGAACCCTAGCCAGCACAGAAGCCTTCCAGCAACTGGCATAACAGGTACGCCTTAACCCGCTCCACCACCTGCTCAGACCCTTAAAAGAGATGGTAATTTCGGAGTATTTAAATACACCAAAGATCACCACCTCCCAAGAGCACTAGAGCAAGTGAGGGGTCATTTAGACGTTAATTTCATCAAGTCCCTGTTAATATGGGAAGACACAGTGTCTATGCTTAAGGCACAACTCTTCTAAACACGAGAGTGAAGTATACAACTTTAGAACACTTTCCCACCAGGAGACTCGAACCCTAGCCAGCACAGAAGCCTTCCAGCAACTGGCATAACAGGTACGCCTTAACCCGCTCCACCACCTGCTCAGACCCTTAAAAGAGATGGTAATTTCGGAGTATTTAAATACACCAAAGATCACCACCTCCCAAGAGCACTAGAGCAAGTGAGGGGTCATTTAGACGTTAATTTCATCAAGTCCCTGTTAATATGGGAAGACACGGTGTCTATGCTTAAGGCACAACTCTTCTAAACACGAGAGTGAAGTATACAACTTTAGAACACTTTCCCACCAGGAGACTCGAACCCTAGCCAGCACAGAAGCCTTCCAGCAACTGGCATAACAGGTACGCCTTAACCCGCTCCACCACCTGCTCAGACCCTTAAAAGAGATGGTAATTTCGGAGTATTTAAATACACCAAAGATCACCACCTCCCAAGAGCACTAGAGCAAGTGAGGGGTCATTTAGACGTTAATTTCATCAAGTCCCTGTTAATATGGGAAGACACAGTGTCTATGCTTAAGGCACAACTCTTCTAAACACAAGAGTGAAGTATACAACTTTAGAACACTTTCCCACCAGGAGACTCGAACCCTAGCCAGCACAGAAGCCTTCCAGCAACTGGCATAACAGGTACGCCTTAACCCGCTCCACCACCTGCTCAGACCCTTAAAAGAGATGGTAATTTCGGAGTATTTAAATACACCAAAGATCACCACCTCCCAAGAGCACTAGAGCAAGTGAGGGGTCATTTAGACGTTAATTTCATCAAGTCCCTGTTAATATGGGAAGACACAGTGTCTATGCTTAAGGCACAACTCTTCTAAACACGAGAGTGAAGTATACAACTTTAGAACACTTTCCCACCAGGAGACTCGAACCCTAGCCAGCACAGAAGCCTTCAACAGGATCTCTAACTCCACTTTTCGGGCCATCTCACTTGGTCTGGATATAAAGTGACAGTTTATACCCAGATTTAGGAGAGTGACTTGGTCCTCAGTGAGGTTGATTCCAGCAAGGTTCAGGAAGCCGTCTCTTGGTCGTGGAATCGCCATAGGTCCTCCAAATAATGTTTATATGGAGGACCATATAATTGCTAATAACGTTGAAGATATATCACGGCAATCCATTCTCGGACTGACCTCATCAGTCACACCAGACGCTGCACCAGGACCGACGACCAGAGCGCAACTCCATAGTCTCCTGAGACTGAAGGATGCCTGCTGCTAGAACTATGTTACATAAATCTAGTTGTAATTATATAATAATAATAATAATAATAATAATAATAATAATAATAATAATAATAATAATAATAATAATAATATCTTATTTAGGAAAAGTACATATATAGATGCAGAGTTACAAAGATACTGTTGGATTTATAGACAGAGCTAGTACATACAATACCTAAAGTCACTAATACGCAGAGCGTTTCGGGCAAAGTGTGGATGAAAAACACTTAGACTAAAACTTAATAGTAATTTTGAGTAACGTATAAATTGTGTTGAAAGAAAGGAATAAAAAAAAAGAAAAAAAGGGGGAACATGGCAAAAATCAGCAACTGTACAAGTTGGTCAACAAACAGCATTTTTAGAATAGCAAGACATGGGTTGACATTTAGGGGGGTAAGGTAGGTTACATGGAGTTAATTAGGTAGTACTTAATTCGTAGTATAACAATAATACATACGGTATAATTTCAATGTAAGCGCCCATGCTGTCTGCCATTAAAGCACACCTCCGTCGGCTTCCCAGTTCTCATCTGGTCCACGAACACCGCCACGCATTTCTCTAGGGATCCGCGCGACCTTCCCCAACCATCTTCATTTCCCGCTGCGGGTAGGTGGTTCAAGGACGGGCTCGCTAGGTGGCTAGACGAACGGTCGGTCGATACACTTGTGCTAACGATCCAGGACCGGAGGAGGATTTCCACAAACAGAGGCATGGAGCCCGGTGACGTAACCAGAGATGTTTATGAATCCGCTGGGAATCCCCTGCTGTCAGGAACGGAATAATCCATAAATACCTTCCCTTAGGGCCCCCAGTGTAAAATTATGGCCTAAGCTTCATTACGGTTTATTTGGCTCGTGTGAATTGCTAGTAACGTTGAAGATATATCACGGCAAGACTCAAGCATCGAGTTTATTGCTTGGATTATGAAAAATTGTGTTGTTGAGTTGTGTACGGCTGAGGGTAGCTGAGTGTGAAGTGTTCAGAGCTGTTTATCCTCTTCTTCAGTGAAGAGAAGACATCTTGAGAACGCACCCCCTCACCCCTATTCTCTCTCCCCTCCTCCCCCGCACTTGTCTTAACACTGACTAGATGTATTTAGGTCAACTCGTGATGAGCTTCCTCACAATGCACTCCACAACAGTTGCCTAAATCTCGGGTACATATTTTACTGCTAGTTTAAAAGAGTCATCAGCTGAAA